TTACCTCAGTCACATCAAGTCTGCAAAACAAAATATTCTTTGATTATCACATGGATATGAATTAGGATAGGCTAATGGTCTTGAAGGATGTCCATATATATCTCTCTATTATTCTTGGTTAGTTTATCTAGTCTGCAGTTAAACCACACCGTTTATCAGGATGCTTCTGAGATGGCTCTGTGCTGACTCAGACTGGGACAGGCCAGATTTCCATGAATGCCACACAATATGTGAAGGTCTCAGGGCTGGTTAAGACTCATTAAGGCCGACCAGTGCCCTCACGTCTCTGGAGTTGGAATCTGTGGCCTTTGTACTTCCCAAGATCACAATCTAGAGCTTCATCAGAGCTCCATCTGCCCTTCTGCTGCTGGACAGCATTGCTAAACTACCACAGGTGTCTCTGTCCAAGCTCCTCATAGCAGCTTCAGTTGTATCTGGTTTCTTGGGACTTTGTTCAGTCATGTTTGATACCCTCAAGGGTGGTGGCTCCAGAGTCCTTCTGGGCACCTGTACTTAGTCTGAACAGCCTCATGGTGACAGTCTTTCTGTCTAGCTGGGATTTCTCCTGACTCTGGTGCTACTCATCCTTCTGCCACGGAATACCTCTGAGAAGTGTTGATCATCTTCTTGACAGCCTTTTTGTAGGCAGCTGAAGTCACCAGTCAGGTGAGCCTTTCATTTTCAGGAGGAGTATAGCTTTCCAGGAGGGATTAGAGAAACATGAGAACAATAGCTCATTGTTTTAAGCTGTGATCTCTTGGGAGATTATCCTGTTTCTAAGTATATGTTTATGTACTCCCTGAGTTTCTACATAACCCCAGTTCCCATTTGGTTTTCTGTTATTATCATAATAATGCTGAAAGGTGACCTGCAGAAGAAAAGAGGACTTTCACTCCTTTGCTCCCTTTTAAATCTGTAAATGTAGAGAAATCCCCAAACTGTGGTTTGGTGGGTAGAATTTTTATTGACTTGGTTTTTTGGTGATTCCTTCCTCCATGTGATACATACATTTTTTAACCTCTCTGCTTTAGAAGGTTGTTTGAATAATGGCAAGCAGCTTGGTAGGATTCAGGTGCCTAGGAAACCAGAAAGGAAGAAGACAGCTGAAGGAATAATTGGTTTTTGACTTTTGGTTTTAAAGGTGCTGGCTTTTGTTAAGTACACCTTCTTTTCTGAACTTGATCGTTGAGCATGGTTTCTCTTCTGTACCTCCAGGCACGACTTGAGAAAGCATTAAACCGATATTTTTCAGAAGGCAAATAAAGCTTCCAGTAAAAATGGGCTTCCTCTAACTGATAGTTAAATACATAAATAAGCATAAGGAGTAACAGTCTATTCAAGATGTTCTTCACGCATTTTAAACTAGCAAAGAAAGCAAACCAAAAAGGGTCAAATGCAATTTTTTTCCTTTTCAGGTCACCTTTGAGGGCTGTATAAATCAAGACAAGGAATTTTCATTCTTTTAGGAAGCACTGAGAGAGGCAGTGGAATTTGCAAAGCTCAGGTGTGTGATGGGATTGTGTCAGCCTGTGGAAATCCTCCTTTCAGTTTTCATTTGGCACTCACACGGTCCTTATAAGTTGACTACTTTAGCAGCTGTAGTTTATCTGCTGTATCTCGACACAAATATATCTTTCCCATGCTGTATATCTATTTTGAGAAAATATTGGCTGCCACCAATATTAGGAAATGTTAAGTACTTATTTTTTTCTTCTTCACTTTGATAAAATGAGTGATCAACAGGAGACCGTGTTGAGATAAATACATGCTTCCAATATTTTAAGAAATTATTTTTTAAATGGTGCTTCTTTCATGTGGAATTCATTGGTGTTTGTTTTCAACACGTGAGTCCCAGTCAATGGCTACTGTGTTATGTCAGTTAATATCATAGGAAAGCATTATTTGTTTGACAGAGCAAAGAAATTTAATTGAGATTAAAGAGGAATAAATGGAAGTTAGTCTAGCATTTGACCTTCCAGTTTATCTGACAAAATTAAAGGGGGGGACCACAGCGGTCTCTGCAGCTGATGGTGGGAGAGGGGGGTGCTGAGCTCTCCTTCCTGGTATCCAGTGAAAGGATGCCTGGGAATGATTCAAAGCTGCATCAGGGGAGGTTCAGACTGCACATCAGGAAGTGTTTCTTTACCAAGAGGTTTGTCAAACACTGGAACAGGCTTCCTAGAGAGGTAATTGATGTCCCAAGGCTGTCAGTCTTCAAAGGTATTTGGATAATACCATTAATAACATGAAGTGGTCAGGCAGTGGACTAGATGGTCATTGTAGGTCCTTTCCAGCTGAACTACTTGTTCTGTTCGGGCATAATCATAGAATTCTGATTACCTGCAGTTTGATCACATTTGAGTTTTTCTTCCCTCACTATGGGTAAACTTAGACACTGTCTTCCTATCATAACATGGTCCTAAAGCAATTAATCCCTTTTATCCTCCTTGTTCTGCTCTGATATTTGTGAGTCCAGACAGGATATGGGGATTAAGGTGGTGTATGGTTGAAATGAGTCTGGTCGGTCTTTGTCCTACACTGTGAGATCCACAGTTAAGTTTCTCTGCTGAGTCCAGATCCTGAAATGATGTGTGGTTGTTTAGCCAAAGCAAAAGATAGGCAGAGCTATAGTCTTAGGTGCTGAGAGAGCAAGGTTCCTCTGGTTTTATTCAGCTTCCTAGTGAGACTTGAGAATTCATTGCTTTCAGTTCCTTATAACTGAGTCAGCAAGCAGTATGTAGCCAAGCCCAAACCTATTTTAGGCTTTAGCTAGAATGCTTTGATTTTTTTTTTCTGCTCAGAGGGACATTTGGAAAGCTGGTGTGGTACACAGTGTAAAGAAGCCCTCTGACATTATCTGAGGCAAAGAAGTGTTGAAATTCAGCTTGATTTTCACAGAAATTGCACAAAATATCTGGCTTTGAAATTGGAGTTGGTTCATAAAACTGCACGGAAAACTTCCAGGCCTGAGAGCTCTGGGCCAATAATACTGTCAGTCCGTGCCCTACCTCCATCTTTGTATTTATGATCCATGTGGTGGCACATCTCACACTTGATGTGTAGCGTGGGATGGGGCTAAAACAGCAGCTCACTGGTGCTTCTGAAGCGAGGTGACTTCAGTGCTTGCTGTGCTTTATCTCCTGGAGCTGTCTGCCTCTGGCTGCTTAGGTACAGAGAGTGATGATGGTTTCCTGTCTAAGCTGGTCTCAGTTAATGGTCTGCACAAGTGGTTCCTGGAGTCTTGTTAGGTATTTTTTTAGCCATTATTTGAAGAATTTGCACTTGCAAACAATCAGTTTGAAACTTACTCTTATTTGAGTTTTAATGTACCTTAAAGACCACATGCCAGGAGAGGGACTGTCAGCTGGTTTTTCACTGGGAATTATTGTAGTTCGGGCTGTGCAGTGCTTGTTCCAGAACAAGGTACTAACAGGAGTTTTTAGCGTGTATTATAGATGTTTTTTTACATGAAGCTAAACTTTTCTTTTAATGCATTCATTATATTGGTCTTTAAGGGGCTTTTCTTTAGCCTAAATAAATATTGAATAGAAAGACATTTTCATAGCTAGGTACATGAAGAATAAAAAATTAATCTGCCCTCGAGCTGTGAAAGTAACAGATTTACATAATTTCGGTAAAAAAAAAAAAAAGCCTAAGTTTCAATGTTGATATTTTTTTCCATATCAAAAATTTGAGATTTCACAAAGCTGTAATTTTTCATAAGAGAGTAAAGTAGAGACAAAGTAAATTACTTGAAACTCTAAGGAATGCATTTATATGAGCTGCTGTAATATTTTATTTCCATTCTGGTAGACATTTCTACCAGATTAGGGATTATAAGAATGGATTTCTTGGCAACCTCACCTAAGGGAGTCTTGCAAGTCTCCTGCAAATAAAATCACCTTCAGAATCATTGTTCCCTTTCTCTTTCTACCTCTTGTGAGATTTATTTGCCTTAAGGGTCCTAACCTGTCAGACTTTTGATTTGTACACATCTACCTGTGATACCTGTGATAAATTTTTGCCTTGGTTTAGAACATACTTAGTAAATAAATACCAGTATTATTAGACAACAAATAATTTTTCACATTTATTTAGCCACAGTAGCATGGTGTTGGTGTAATGATAAGTAGTCATTGAGAGCTTGTCCTTTTTCTAGAAACATTAGTGCTTTATGCTAAGAAAGAATAGGGTTTTTTCCTAATATTTTGTTTTATAGTACTTAGTTTATAATTTTAAAAAATATGTAAAAATAGAAAAACATTTATTTCAAGGAAATCTTAAACTCGCTTATCATTTTGTACGACAGAAGCATAGAGTTGCTTCAAATAAGATTGCAGGCATCTGTAGGACATTGAGCAGAGACTGTCAAAGATTTAAGCTAAATTTATACCAGATTGTGTTTATTGCTGCCTTTCTGTAGATGCAGCTTACACTGACAAGAGAGTGTGTAAACTTTGCTGGGAATCATATGTTTTGTCATCATTGTTGCACTATTCCAGATCTTCTGCCTTAATTTAAAAGGGAAGGGGTGAGGTATACATCAGTGTTTCTCAAATGCTTTTAGTGGGGTAAAGTCTCCATCCCTACCTTGGAAAAAACTTGTCTGTGGAGCAGTGGAAGGCAGGATAGTGCAGGATCTGGAACATCCCCATTAAATAGATGTTTAAAGGAGGCTGAAACTCAGGGGTTTTGGGCAAAAGTGTGCCTTCCTTACCCACCACTGCTGTGTGCCCTTGGATTTTGAAGTCTCTTCTCTGGAAGAGTGGCTTCACTGGCAGTACTGATGAATTTAAAAATCAAGCTTTCCCATGTGGAGGAGGGGAAGTTATTAAATATGCCAATAAACACTTTAACCAATGTGCAGAAGTTTAGAAAGTAAATATGGCAATATTTCCTTAAAAGAGACTTCTCTCTGTTAAATTTTATTGCAATCAGTTTATGGAGTCAAAAAAATCTTGAAATGGAACTGCTTTTAAGTGTGGATTTTCTTTTTTTAGCACTGGTTGGACCATTCAAAATTCATTAAGAAGCAAATAAAAAGTAAGTACTACGTCTCTGCCTGTTTATTTTGTTACTTCCTAAAGAATTTGAATTTAGTGTATTAGAACACGATAGAGAATGTTGAAGTATGGCCTTTAAAATAAATACTTATTAGGAAATAGTTTTAACTTAACAGGTAATTGGCTGACTGTATTATGTCTAAATGCAAGAGCACTTATTAAGCAGTACCCCAGGCTTCAGAAGCCCTTGTTAAACCTGTGCTGTTTGTGTGAGGCACTGAGTAGGTTGCCAGGTAATTTCAGTCTGATCTGTGAAATTAGGTTGCCTGGACACAGATCGGAATTCTTGTCACTGCTTCTGATCCAGAACAGATATCCTGCAATTTCTTTCAGAGAGTGAAGAGAAAATACTGCATTGTGTAATGATTAATTTTTAATTTTTTTCTCCCAGATTATTATCTTAGAAGTAAAACTAACAGAAATACCTGCTGTTTTGTCAAATGCAGTTCTGAAATAGCTGCTGTTCTATCAAAGGTAGTTTTGGATGGAAAGGTTGGGTTGGGCCACTGAGTTTTCTGTGAAAATTGTCTAAGTCATGGAATTAGCTCCAGGATCTTTGATAATCAGGTTGCAGGCTTGGGCACAGTGCAGCATTGGCATTAACGTGTTTTGTTACAATACTGCAGTTGGCAGCAGTCATGGGCCGTGAAGACATGGCTTCTGTGAGATTAAAATGTATTTTTCAAGGAAATTTTTGACACCCTTGGATGACCTCACAAAGATAGGTCCTGATTGCTTCAGTGGTGCTTTACCTTTCTTTTTGATAAGTACCCAAATATCTAGATTATTTTTGTAAATGCTGGAGTTCTTCAAAGGCCTTTAGGATAGTTTGCTGTCACCCCGTGGTGTGTGGTTGTCAGCCTGCTAGAATCCATGGTGAAGATAGCTGCTATGGGTTTTTGCTGTTAGGTTTTCATCATCATGTCACAGACTGCTTTACTTTAAGTGATTTGCAGCTGCACTTTATCTAATAGCTTTGTCTTTTTTCTCCTGGAAAATCAGTGATTCTGTAACACCTTCAGCCAGTTTAGTTGCATGTTTTTGTGTTTTTGATCTGTGAAGGACCTGTTTCAGAAAGCATTTGGTCAATCCTGGTTCTGAGAAATGCCTGAGAAGGAAGCAGTTTGTTGGGTGTTGTAAAGGTCTGACTCACTACAGGTTACTTTCCTTTACCTTGCATTTAGAAGATGCTTTATGAAGAATTCCTCTTTCAAAATGGATGTTGCCCACTGCTCTTTTTTCCAAGTCCTTAGCTCACCGATGCAGACCTCACTGGTGGTGCAGAACTGTGAGCTCAGGGTGCTATAACCTGACTTACAGGAGCTGTACATGGAGACAGAATCAAAGCTCTAGTTACCTGAATTTTAGCTGCATATCATTTAGTAGAAGGATCATTAAGAGGCACATTTACTGTGTTGATGTGGTGTTATGGAAGACTTTAGAAAAGTGTAGAAAAGTAATTTTTCTGTCAATTAATGCATCAGCAAGCAGTAGGAAGATGAGGGCTAAGCAGATCAGGATTCTTGGTCACAGTTTCATGGTGGCTGAATAACTTGCTATTATCTGTGTTACAAGGAAAGTCTGATGTAGCATTTACTTCTGGCATTAGAAAACATGGTTCTTGCAACCCCATGGAATTTTTTACCTTTCTGTGTTCGTGGGTGCCTTCCAGAGTCTTCTCCAGCACTTTTCACCCTATTTATCTCACCTTTTCTCATGCATGTGTTTCAATCAAAAGCTGATCTATTGGGGGGGGGGGGGGGGGTTTGGGGTAGTGTTTGCACTTGGTAAGAAGGAGCTTCACCCTCCCCTCTTCCTTCCCTTTCTGCCTGGGCCCAGAAACAGGCAGTGTATCTGGAATTTGCTGTCATTCACAGCGTGCTGTGAGGCACGCTCTAAGGACAAAAAGGTGTTTGCCAAATGGACTATTGCCTTGATAAATTTAAATTAATTAGTATCATAAAGTATGGTAATTGTCTATTTTTTTGGTTTGTTGGATGCATTTTTAAATTTAGAAAAACATGAAATATTGTCTTTGAGGAATTTGAAAAACGTAATTAATTTTGTGTTTCTTGGGTTGTGAGGTGTGGTGTGGTGACTGTTCTGCCTTATCAGGACTGCAATGAGTATAAACCTTTTTTCCCCATTTAAAATCTCTGCATTTGCAGTTGGACCTCCGTACACGTTGCATTTTCGAATTAAGTACTATTCATCAGAACCGAACAACCTGCACGAAGAGTTTACAAGGTAGGAACTGTGCATGGCTGATGGGGGAATTAAGACATCTAAGGCACGTGGGGTACTGTAAGCAGGTGGTTCGAGCTTTCTTACTGAGTGGTCGTTTTGTTTGCCTTCTTAGGTGTTTTCCTACTGTCAGAGAAACACGTGTTTCTTTCTTCATTTTTGTATGCTGCCAGAAGGCATTCTTGGGCCTCTCCAAGCATGTCAGTGTGTAGGAGGAGATGCTGTGTTTTGGTGCTTTGAAGTTGGCAAAGAAAGGCAGTGTTGGGTGGGGAGAGCTGCAGCTGGGAGACACCTGCTCTTTGATACCTGCCGTCCTCTGAGAGGGTTCTCCATTATGTCCTGCTAAAATGCCAGTGGCCTGCTTTGTTCCTCCTGCCCTGGCACTTGAGGGTGATTTAATAATGGTACCGGGGGTAGAGAATTGTGGGAATAGTCAGCTTGAGCTCTGGGTTAATGCTTGATTGAATAGCTTCTGTTTCCCCGTGGTTCTCTCTGTAGCAGAAGCCTGCGTTGTATAAAGTCACTGTACAAATATCTGGAAGTCTTTTGTTTCAATCTGCTGGGCTGCTTTCTGTGGACCTCTACCTTGCAGGGTCCATAGCACCTTGGTTCACAGGATATTCTGAAAGCTGGGAAAGGAGCAGCTGTAGGAAAGGGTTTGCTTATCTTTTGTATCTGCTTACTTTGTGTCTTCTCTGTATAGTAGTCATCTATCTTAATGTTATTTTATCTTTTCTTTTGTTCTGCCTCTCACCGTAGGCACTTTCTGTGTCTTCTAATTTGCTTGGCAATAATCAGTGTACTCCTAATCAGCCTAAGGTGTTTAAAGGTGGTTGATTATTGTAGTTGGTGTGCATGTGATGTTTACATTAAACTTAAGCCTGCAGGCAAATGATTTACTGTCTCCTTTGCTGTCTGCTGTGCTGACCATGGGTTTTTTCACTGCCTGAGATTAAAGGGCTAATTGTCACCGCCTCATGATATAGACATAGGGTCTTTAATATCAGTTATCAATTTATTCCAGCAGTGATAATTCAATAAAAGGGCATATTCCCATAGAATGTATAATTAACTTGCAGAAATCCCCGCCACTTATGTAACTGTGTATAAGATCTTAAGAGAATCCAAAAATCTGGATGATTTATGGACATCTCTAATGAGAAAATGCAGTTAAATTAGTAGGAATAATATGTGTTTTCTGGAAATTGATGTAAGTCTTCATACATCAGGGTGCATGTCTGACAAGTATTACATTTCCCCTGTGGTCAAATTATTGCATTACTGTCTACCACAAGATTTCTTGCTTGATGCTCTGAAGCATATGATCCTAGTCACTGTTAGACTGGGTTTCTGAACTATGTGATCATTGCTGTGATCGAGTAAGACATTTTGTCTGAAAGTATTAACCTCTGATGCCTTGTGATCTAATTATTGCTGAAAGGTGACATTTCAGAAGACTATTTTAATTAGAAAAACACTTTAGTCAGCTAAATATTCAGTGTTGTGAACAATTTCTTTTAATTATAAGCTTGACAGAAGACCACTGTGAGTAAAAATGTGTAAGAAAAATTTGGGTGCCTTTTTTCTTTTTTTTTTTTTTTTTTGGGAAAGTAATTTTGAATTTAAGAATTTTATAGTTCTTAAATTTTAAATTCTTTTGATTTATGGAGGTTTTTTTTAAGAGTCTTTGTCCTAGTTGTTGAATCATATTTTCCATGTAGCATGTTGAGTGAAAATTGAAGATTAATAACTCAATTTATATATATTATTTATATACTCAAAATTATTCCAAGTAGAAGAAAATCCATCATCAACCGTAACAGTATTAGAACTGTCCAGGTAGGGGGTGCTCAAAATTCCTTCTGGAGATGTGCTTTCTAGTAGACTTAAATTTCTAGTGAAGCTACAAACATCACATTCTCATAATTAACACAGTATTGGGAAGCATTAAAACCCTTCACCAGCTCTGTCTTTTCTTCGGTTTAAAAACACAGTTGAAATACAGTGTGTTTCAGAAAACATCTATCGCTTGTGTGTGACCTGCTTAGTTAATTTAGTTAGAAGAACAACAGAAGAACTTGTCTGTACTTGTGTGTCGTGGAGAGTTTTCTAAGGTATTTTGCTGAAGTAGCAGCAATTGTGATGCCAGTGTTTGTCAGCCTGTGCACAGAAAAGGAACAAAGGTAAACCATACCTACCAGAGCGGGACTGCAGCGCTGTACAAGCCTCCTGACACTGATAGGAGCACTGCCCAGAGTCTTCTTGCAAATTTAGAAGAGTTCTTGGGATTCTAAGTCATCTGGGCTATCAATAAGAACAGGGAGTATGCTTGTCTACCCTTAATCTACACATGCAAATACCCAGATTTGATTGGCAAGTATCAGCCAAGTATGTGAATCACAGATGTAACAAAGAGCTAACATGGATAAATTAAATTCTGCTCTAGTGTTATCATGAGAAATCCTAATCTTCCTTTTCATTTCTGTTTCCCTGTCTGATTCCAGCTGTTTGTCCTTCAAAACGTTCACTGCATGTCCTGTGTGTTGAAAAACAAGATCACTTTTGTCTTTCTATGATTTGTGAAGATGGAAAAGGTTTATGCTTGCATTTAGTGGGCTCACAGGAGTGCTTTATGCTTTCTTCTCTTGGATCACTCATATTTGCAAGCCTCACTCCACAGTGTCCAGAGCAGTGCAGAGCCTGCCTGTGCCTTCCTGTGCTCTGCACACCCCTTGCATGACCCAGGGCACTTGTGCATGCCTCAGAGCCCCGCTCTGAGTGGTGTCAGTGAAGCATGCCTAGAACCGAGGGTTAGCAAAGCCACAGCTCAAAATATCTCAACAGTTTGAAGGCTGTAAATTCCTACTTGGCTTATTAAACAAATGTGTGAGCTCTATGGAATTCTTTTATTCAGAACTTCTCTGCTATTTTTAAGTGATATTTTGGTATGAACCTTTCCTTTTCCCCAGTTTGGACTTTTTCCATGTTCTGCATTTGTGTTTGAAAAAGCAGCCCTGAAGCCTACATGCCTTTATCTGTGTTTCATTTTTAGATACTGTAGTTCAATTCCTGCCTGAATTAGGTAAGACCCAAGTTTAGGAGAACACTGGAGTGTTAGTAACATTTAGGTTGCTGTGGTATATGCTCAGATAGAGCACATCCTAAATAGCAAGACTTTGGACATTGTCCTGAACACAACCAGTGGACAAAAAATGTGCTTTTCTTTGATTTTAGTGAAAGCTGTGGAAGCTTTGAACTTGCAGGGTGTATCTGTGTGATCCCAAAGGGCCTTTTTTGTAAAGACCAAGTTACTCAAATTGCTGTTACTACGCAGTGAGTTGGGGTATTCTTCCAGCTGATGGAACTAGGATGCCACTGTAATTACTTTTGACGTTCTGAATTTTTATTTGTCAGGTACCTGTTTGTATTACAGCTCCGGCAAGACATTCTTTCAGGGAAGTAAGTACCTTTTTACACTTGAAGCTGTAATTTAATCTCCTGGTGCATTTTGATTTTCTTTAGAATACAGACACATGGGACTTTGTGTGCATCATGACGATATTACTGACAAATAGAGTGGGTAAAGATTTTTATGGATTGATCAGGTGATGGAAATGTTTAAAGAGAGCAAAAACTGTTCTGGGTTTTATGATTTGAAAATGTAACTTGGGCTTGCCACATTTTTTCAGTATGGTGGGTGAAATAGAGTATGAGAAAGTTGAAGTGCAACACTTTTTATTCAGGTCAACGCTGCAAAAATATTTTGTGCTTTTTTTGTCTTACCCCGACCAATATTCATTCACACCTGCACTACTTTTTTTTTAATTACAGAAACAAAAATCCTCAAACTCATATATTCTAAAATGCAGTGTTAAAGCAAAAATGGTTCCTTAGTTGATTTAGCATTTTCTCTGTTGGTTCAAACTTGTTTTATGGTGAAGTGTAACATGTTTAATGCTAATCAGAAGGTGCCAACCTAGGAAATAATCATATACAAGTAAAAAGTAATTGTAGATGTTTCATAGAATTAGTAGTTTGTGGAAGTTAATGTTTCTGGGTTTTGTATCAAGCTTCTTTTTAGCTTTATTGCTAGAGGAATTCACTGACAAGAGAGATGTTTTTTATAGTTTTGTTTTTTTGTTTTGTTTTTAAGACTGAAATGCCCTTACGAAACTGCTGTTGAACTAGCAGCTCTGTGTCTTCAAGGTATGCAATCTTTTGAAAGTGGTTTGTCCTAATTCATTAAAAATCTTACCTAATGGTTTCTTTTCCTTTGTTACTAATGCATTCTCACTGATCAAATATAAATGCCATTCTTTTACTTGGGAAGAAGAATTTTAGGGAGATCACTTTCTTGGCTTGCCTCCGTTCATAACTTCTGAACTGTATTAGCCAATATCAGCACACTTGGTATGGGGAGGGAGACTCTAAACCATGGCTAGGCAAAACTTTCATGGAAACCCAGGGCTGATATGGGAAGAAAGACCCAAAATAGCTCCCTACTGAGGGAGAAGCTGTGGTGCGTGCACAAGTGTTACCACTTGAGCCTGGAGAGCCAGCTGGCCCTTCACACAATTTGTGGGATGTGGGTGCCTGTGAATTTGGGCTTCCTGCTGCCTGAACGGTGCCTGGGAGAGGAAGCCTCCACAGTGGGTGACTCAGGAGATGGTTACAGGACAGGAGGGGAGGGAGTGGCAGGTACTGGAGAGGAGAGAATTACACGGGATGTTAAGAACTAATATCACTTCTGTGGCAGGAGCAAAGATTTCACTACATAAAAGCAACTCCAGTACACTGGGTTTCATTATGTTATTGTAGGACAATGTGGTTTTTGTGTTGCTGCAAGCATGTTAATATAAATATTTGTTCCATTTTGATCCATTTGTTTTGCAGATGGGGAGGAAATTTTTGTACTGAAGCTCAAATCAAGTTCATTTTTGCATAAAAGAAAGTGCAGTGATCTGGACCAATCTAAGCATATCAGCAGCAAAATTAATTGAAATTAAAAACTCTCTTCCTGTTTCACCGGTGGCTGGGCCGTGGCACACAGAGAGCTTGGGCAGAGTTGCTTGGTTTAATACAGCAGTGGAATTAACTCAGTAGTTCTAGATGGACTTGACAGGCAAAACTGGGAATTCAGCTCCAAGCAGCAATAGGTGTAAATCTTAAGGTAGTTTTACTGTACCAGTTGGCACAGCTGATGTGTCAGGTGTGCAAAGAACTGCTGAAGGCAGAATCTGTCTGTGTTTTTGAGGTGGAGGAAATGCAGAGCCCCAGTTTGATCTGTTGCTTACGTTTCCACAGATAAAAGCTCCGGTAACCTCACATCTGGTCCAAGCAAGGAGGACCAAGCAAAGAATAATAGGTTGATGCCTCAATATTTTGGGTAGTACTGACACCTGTGATTACTGTGTAAATGCAATACAATAGCTATCCATCGTGTTTATGATGTGTCCAGCTATCTTCCAAAGCTAACACTCTTTGCTGCTGTCTGGGGAACACGCTTTTATACTTTCTTGCTTTTTTTTTTTTTTTTCAGTTTCAGTTTTCCACTATTTTGGCATCATTACAATAAGGTTGTCCAAAATGATTCCATTGTTGCAACTAATTCTCTTTGCTGACATACATAATAATAAGCATTTTTGGTGTAAAGTTTTCTACATTTTATTGACATTTTATTGACCTAATTAGGCAGAAAAGTATAAAGAAATGTCAATTATTCCCTCCTCAGTGGGTTACATTTTCTCTGTAAAATGCAGTCTTGCTCCTTAGTGTGATGCAGTCTTTCTCCTTAGCGTGCCTTTCCTAAGAGTGAGGAAAAAAGCTATGAATTGCTATTTAGGCATTAGTAGTCTGAGCCCACTGAAGGAAAAGTATTTTCACAGAGAAGCTTTAAATTTTATACTTTTTTTTTTTTTTTTGATCAAGGAAATTTTCTGTTACAGTAATTCTTGGTTTCCAATAGCAGTTTCCAGGGTTGGTTTTTTTTTGTGAATCATCCCTCAGACACAATGTATTGATTTGTTGCCAGTCCCATGAAGGAGATTCTGTAGCAAGTAACATTGGTTTGTAGTATGGGGTAACATATGAAGCAGATACATAATATTATGCTTCACTTACGGGGATTATCTGCAGAACCTATGGAACTTGAGTTCTCACTGTTTCAGTTAGTTTTTAACTACCTCATTAGTGGTGCATGGTCTTAGTGTTTAACCAGATAAACGTTTGAAGCTGCTAATTAAATTGAAAAGGAAAATGTTTTCTCACATGTCCAATTTTCAGTTCTAATCATAAGACATCTTCATGAGATGCTGGAAACTTTTTCATCCCTCTGTATAAAAGAGTCAGACATATATTTAAAAATAAATACATTTTTGGAATTTTCAAAAACTTTCTAGGAAATATCCTTTTGAAAATGTTCCCCCAGTTATTTTTTGAAGAACACAGATAATGTATATACATGTGCTAGGTACATGTGCCTGCCCCACCTTCCACCTCCCCCAAAAAAGGGCAGAGAAGATGCATGCCAAAGCATGTCATGAAGACACAAATAAGGAGATGGGTCCTCTGCCATGACCTTATGTTGCAAAATTATTAGTGGTGCTGAACCATTCAGGAAGTGCAGTTCCAGCCCAGCAGCAACAGCATCCTCATAGAGTCTGTGGCAGCCCCTTCTTCCTCTGCCCTCCAGCCCTGTGCAGGGAGCTGGTAGTCTCTTACTGACTCTTATGCTGGAGACCTATTAACAGAGATCAAAAAGATAACATAATTTGTTTACCTGAAAGTGAATAAAGAGTGAGTGCAGCTGTGGAGAAACAAGGATGATATTTTTCTCCTACCTAATATTGCTGCCTGAGCTTCTCTGTGTCATCTGTCCTACAAGCTCATGATTCTTCTCATCCCTACACATCCTCTTTACAGCACAGTCAGCCTTCATTCCCCCGTCTCTCTCAGTTAGGAAGTAGAGAAATCTCCTATGTTTTTCCTAGATGGTTGGCAGTGCATCAAACTTCAGATCTTTACCTTCTTCTCTCCCCTCGATGTCCTCCTTGCTAGTGTGTTTGCTGTAGCTCTCTCTTGTGTACTGGAGACTAGGCTGCCAGTAATTCTTAATAATACTTGTGTTAAATAGGCTTCCAGCTTTGATGAAACAGCCACAGAGCTGAGATATGTGTATGTCCTTTTCTTTAACAGAGATGAGAATACTGTAACTCACTATGGAAGATTACTGTTCAGAGGGAAAAAATGTGTGTGAGACAGTAATTAAAAATGAAGACCAGTGAACTCAATCTGTTTAATATCCTTAGGACTGCTAAATGTTTCAGCAAAGCACAAGTTTTCAAAACCACCTAGTAGGTGTTATCAGCCAACAGATTGGATTTTGAATGTAACTTCCTATCTACTGATGGATCCTGTTAGGTATTTTTGGAGTCTGGCTGTGAAAAAAATTTTTGCAGTTGTTAAGTGTAAAAGCCCCCTGAAGGAATAAAACTGTTTTCTTCAAGGGAGTTCATTTCCCTCTCTGCTTTTTAATTTATAGTTTTATTTTGGTAGTAGAAGTTAAGAGTAGTAAACAGTTAAGAAATGCTGACTGACAAAGGCCTGTTTGGGAATCACATCATATATCAAGTGACATGGTGTTGCTGAAGAGTGTATTTTCCACTGATGTTTGCCACACAGTCCTCAGGCAGTGACGCTGCAGCCTCTTAGTACAGCTGAGAGGCTCCAGGAGAAAAGCTGTCACAGACACAAGGCATGTAAGGGCGTTAGTCTCAGCTCCTGCTGAGCTCTGTGGAGTTGGAAAGTGTTCTGCTCCTAGAAAAGAAAACACCAGAGCCTAAGCATATAAGTAGAAAATGACACCTTAATTATGTTAATGTTTCAGCATTTTTTTCCTTAAAAAATACTTGGTATTACACCACCACTGTGATTTAAAAGACCGCACAGCTTTATCACTGGTTTCATGAGACAAGGTATTCCCTTCGTGTTTTGACATGAACAGAAACATAACTCCTAAATTTGTCATAAACCAGGACAAAAAACAAAGCATGCAATAGAATAGGAAGTGTTAGGGAATGCAAAGTATGTAATGAGAGGAAGTTTCAGAGTTACCTGTTCTAAAACAGAAGATGCATTGATGATCGTTTTAAATATAAACTTTATTTCCTATAAGTGCTTTAAAATCCAGAGAAGCAGCTTTAGTTGAGCTGGTTCAGTCATAACATCCCTGAATGTCAGAATTCTGTACCACAACCTTACACTGTTCCTGCAAATGCATTTATCTGACTTCTGCTGTAAAATCTGGTTTGAATTTCCTGGGGCCAGCAGTGGGGGGATGGGATGCTGACTCAAAGCATTGACACAAGTACATTCTGCAACATGCCTAGGAACTTGAAAACTATCCTTGTCTTTGTAGGGATAGTGGAATTAAATGTTTCTGGTCATACCAAGGACTTTATTATTTTAATTTCTTAATTGATTGATTTCAGCTGAGTTGGGAGAGTGTGAGCATCCTGAGCACACACCAGAGCTCGTGTCTGAATTCAGGTTTGCACCAAACCAGACTGAAGCAATGGAATTTGACATTTTTCAGAAATGGAAAGAGTGCAGGTAGAGTACCTGTGTGGGAGTGGGGTCTTTAGCAACAGGTTTTCTTCTCTTCCAAAGTCAAATCCTTTCAACAGGCATGAAATGGGGATTATGTTTGTCAGTAGAGAAGTATTGTAAAAAGGCTTTGAGCACTCCCTTCCCTAGAAATATCAAGCAGTAATTTAGACAAGGTTGCTGGGGTGATTTTTTTAGGAAGGTGGTGGGTTTAATTTGTTACTGTTTTTTCTTTAGATTATTTTGTAATAATTTAAGGAGCTAGGTCTTTATCCTGTTTATGTTGGAGATAAATATCTTTCTCTCTTTCATTCAAACAAAAATTTTGAGTTCAGGGTGGTTGCAAATTCATTTTCCTGTCTTTTGTTAATAAATATGGTAAATTTTAGTGATGCTTTGTTATCTGAACTTACATCCTTGTTGGCAGTTAGAGATCTTTTTGCATTTTCAGTCTTCTGTTTTATTTTCATTTGGAGGGAAGAGTGTAAAAACATAAGCTTGAAATATCACTTAGTGTCATTAAGATTAAGGACACAAAGAAAAGGGTTTTAGGGAATGAATCTGAAAGCATTTAAAGCAGATGAAAAAATTCTTACCGTGAAGTGTGAATTTTATGTTCATAGGGGAAAGAGCCCGGCGCAGGCTGAATTGTGCTACTTGAACAAAGCTAAATGGCTAGAAATGTATGGTGTAGATATGCATGTAGTTAAGGTAAGATCCATGTGATGTTTTATTTTATCAGTGTGAGGTCCCTGCGCTGTCCCTGTGGGTCAGTCCCTGAGGAGTGTCCTTGCTATAGTCTGGGTTGTCCCATGGGCCCTCAGCAGTGATTCCCACCTGCAGCACTCCTCCCAAGGGTGCTTCCCTGTGCTCCCACAGTATCCCTTTCCACATGCCTTTTCCTGTGTCCCTCCGTTTCTTCCTGTTGTGTCTCCTTCCCCTGGCAGGAACTGCCTGCTCTTAAACAGGTGAGGTGAGGTGTGAGCTCCCCTGGATACGGTGTTGGTGTGGGTCCATCTCCATGGATCTCAGAGCCACTTTGAGCAGCATATGGCCTCCTCCCTCAAAGGGCACCCTGCAGCCTCCTATTGCCAATATATGCCACTTTGCACTCACTACAGATGCATATTCTTCTGCTCTGTAATGTTAAAAAAATATGACATCCTTCTTGTTTAGTTTAAGACCTATGGATTTTGCAATACTACTGTATTAAGATTTACACTGCTCATGGCAGATTATTTATTCTGTACTTGCTTGCAGGGAAGAGATGGTTGTGAATATGCTCTTGGACTGACACCAACAGGCATATTGATCTTTGAAGGAGCCAACAAAATAGGCTTATTCTTTTGGTAATCCTCTTTTGTGTTATATTCCTTTTTGTTAAAATGCTGAAATTTTTCTCCCTTGCATAATGGGATCATGATTGTTATTTGTAATTTTTAATTGGATCTACAAAGTTTAAAATCTGAAGGTAGATTGGCCTGGTTAGAAGTACCACACTCAAATGTAAAGTAGTTGTTGAAATAAAATTATTTTACTATTCTTGTAATTATATTCTTTCTGATTCTTGTGTTTAGGCCTAAAATCACAAAAATGGACTTTAAAAAGAGCAAACTAACGCTCGTGGTTGTAGAAGATGATGAACAGGTAACTTCTTTCCCTTACTTGGGCCTGATCCAACAAAGTGTGGTGTGTGCTCAGGCTGGTAAGAACACAAGGGACGCTCAGCACACTGTTGGCCCAGGCTGTGTTTCTCCTACCAAGGACAATAACTAATATCATGCATGCCAACTCCCAAAGCTTTTGTTTCTGCATTTAGGGCAGAGAGCAAGAGCACACATTTGTTTTCCGGTTAGACAGTGCCAAAACGTGCAAGCACTTGTGGAAGTGTGCGGTGGAGCACCACGCTTTCTTCAGATTGCGAGCCCCAGCAAATAGTAAATCTAGTAGATCCGACTTCATAAGGCTGGGATCACGCTTCAGATTCAGGTATTTAGTGAAGTAACAGCAATGTATTTCTCTTTACTCAAAGGAGCAGGTGCAGCTTCCCGCAGAAGGCAGTAGCTTACTTTGTTTATTTCTGTATTTTAAGTGGGAGGACAGAATATCAAGCAACACACGGGACAAGATTACGCAGAACTAGTACATTTGAAAGAAGGCCGAGCAAGAGATACCCTTCTCGGAGGCATTCCACTTATAAGGGTAAGTGTTTTTTATACATCTGTTCACTGAATTGGTCATGCAGGTGCCCCGTTAAATCCCATAAATGTCACATTACAATCGTGACATCTGTACCACTTTATGAAAAGAAAAAATATGTCAGATCACCTAAAAAATCAGAACGTACATGGGGTTTTATTGGCCCGAGTTCTTTGTTTCCATCTTCTGTTTTTAATCTTTGCCTACAGTTAATTCTTCCACCCCCATCTATGGAGGAGGTACCTATGGTTTCTTTTGTTGCTCTATTGAGGACAAAAGAAAAGTTGCAGAAAACCCACTAAGGAAAAGCCTGTAATGTTTTTTTGAAGAATTGCTTGTGTCACGTGGGGTGGAGCAGTATCCAAAAGCCTTACTGACTTGCTTATTTACCCAGACAATTTTAGGGTTATCGAGCAGTCTCGTTACGGAGTTGTTGTGGCTTTCCTGACTGAAATGGCATGTTTTTCACCTATCCAGACTGTGATCTTAACTAGCTTGCCCTGGGAATTGAGATGTACTGAATTTAAATGGAATGACAAGGAATTGATTTCCCTTGTGGTTTTGTAGTTTGTCCTTAAAAAGTTGAGCTTTTTGTTCCACGTAGAAAAACCTAGGAAGGAGCACTGCAAGATAACCCTCTCCAAATTCTGTTTTTAGTTGAGCCTGCAGGTATAGTTGCCGTATGGAGCAAGGCTGCTGTACAGAGCAGGGTGAGATGACATTCCCTTAGAATGTCTTTATCCTCCTTTGCATTCCCAGAATATAAACCACAGTTCCGTGAGCAGCCCTTGTGGTATTTTGGGGACATTTTTATGTCTCATTTACAGTGGGGGCAGAAAGGGTAACAAGCGTGCATGCTTTCTAGAGGCTGTAACTCTTTCCCCTGCTTCCTTCCTTAGTACATGGAAGGAGTTTGTTTAACTGAAATGCAAATTTAATAATCTGTGAGGTGCTGGTTATGTGAGACATGAGAGTGAACTATATAGTGTGGGTTATTTTATCAGTGGAAGAATGAATTCTGTAAGTTTTATTCTTGCCATAACAGGAACTGACAGACCTGCAGGTTTTGCCTTGAGTCTCCATGCTTCTCTACTTACGTCTGTGAGGTAGCGGGAGAAGAGAAAAAGTGTGGCTTATGCTTAATTATGTTCTCTGTCCATTGCAGCCAGTCAGAACTTTTCACACCCAAGCCATCTCCTTCTAGAGAGCACAACAGCATGTTTGTTAAGTTAATGCAAAAACTCCCTGTAGGTTATTACCTTTCATTCATCTTTTGGCCATTAAGATGTGTACCTAAGCACAGCCCACAAGGGTTGGATTCTCTCCTAGCTCTGTGGCTTTTGAGACCTCTGCAGTGTGTCATTAACTTCCTGCATTCAGCAGTCAGCTGGACTTTCAGTTTATCTCTCGGGAGTTTTTCAGTTCTCTTGAAACACACACAGTCATGAAAAAGGCATGGTACATCCCAGTTACTCAGCTGCCACCTTCACCATTCTTTCCAGCCTGTCCAACGCACAGCCCAAGACCTTGTAGCTCAAGATTACAACTTATGGGCTATTTTGGCTACTGTTGTTCCCTGTAATAAGACACAGGCCATTATCAGCCTTGTGAATACTCTGGTTTCTATAAGAGAGTGAAAATTTCAGCAAGGGATAGTTTCTGATTTCCAAGGGACTTGATGTTATTGGTATGGTACTACAATAAGGTGAGAAAACAAAGTGTTGTGCAGAACATACTCTGCCAAAAGTCCTTTTGTGACATTTGGGAAGAATATTCTTGTCTGCTGTAATCTCTAAAGGGCTTTCAGGACCAGAGAGAGATTTGTGTCTGCCTCATACTTTGATGTCACACAGTATTGCTAGAAAGCACAGGGCTGCACTTGAAATTCTGATACTTCTGTGCAAATATGTCTGTGTGAGGATTCACTTTAGCCATAGTGTAACAGCCCAACAAGTGCTGCAAAATGGCCGATATTTCACTTGTCTTAAGGTTTTGTTTGTTTCTTTTTAAGCAAACAATCCTGTGAAAGCAGCACAACTGTGGTAAGTGACTGCCTAAGTTCTCTCTACCTCTCAGTTGCTGTACCTGGGTGAAAGGATTCTGAAGATAATATCTGTGTTAGGATTTGTAGAAACAGATTGTCTGGTATGGGATGAATTAGCATGTCACATTATGCATCCCCAGATTCTTCTTGGGGACTGCCTGCTTCCATTGTTTAATCTATTTTTTTTAATTATTTTTATATATTAATTCAGACTAAACTAAAACATACTTCCTTTTTTCTCACTGCTCTTATGCCAGCTTATCAAGCATAATTTGTTCATATTTTTAAATGAAAAGAGAGAAAAAATTTTACACCCCTCTTCCACATGTTAACTGCTATGGTGTATATCTTGAATAAAATAATTATATCTTTAAGAATATTAATTTCATTTCTCTGTAGTACTTCCCTGAACTAAAAAACATTGTGACATAGATGTATTGATTACATAAAAGCAATTTTTTTTTCTCTCTTAGTGCTAAAAATACTCCTGAAGTCCATAACTACCAGGTAAGAGAATACCGGTTACAGAGGAAAATGTTGGCATTTTCATATTTTGTGGTAAATATTTTTGCTCTTTATAATTTGTTCAGCTGTTTTGCTCCCCTTTCCTTACTCTGGGGTGAGATTCTCTGATATGTCAGAAATAAACCTTTGGGTTTTATTCCTTTAAACTATTGGGGTTAAAGAGAAGGTGGAGGGACTCTTGTCTCCTGTGTTCTTGGATGCTCTGCAAGCTGAATGCACACCATTAGCCATCTTTTTTCCCATCCCTTTCCTTTCTGTGGAGGTTAAAGCCTTTGGGACTGTGAATGTGATGGGCCCCAGGAGACTGCTCTGTGAGCGAGCTTTTGTCTAGAGCAGCCTTTCACACTGGATGATTGTGACAATTACAAAGTTGCAATTAACTCCCTCATCACGATTAAAGAGTTGCTCGTCAAATGCTTGTTGGCGCTTTTTTTATGCACTCCAGGGAAACATTACCTGGTTTTCATCTGTGCTACTGACAGTGGGTACTGAGAAAAAGCAAGCTTCCAATCTCTGCATGTGCATGAGAACTTAGTCTTAACGCTTTTTATTAAAACTCTCACCAGGGATTTTCTTTTACTGTTTCTCTTCAAGATCTTGTGGATATGAGAGGGAAGTGCTGTCACCAAAGATAGGTGACCTTTTGAAGCCTGCTCTTATAACAGTAACCTTTCTTATTCTCCACCTTTGATCAAAGTTGACATTTTTTTGATGTGCTTTCTATGAGAAGCACTAGATGTGCCAGGGTGTCTGTCAAACAGGAGAGCAATTTTCTTTGCCTTTTCCCGTGAGTGTGTCCTAATGAGCAGACTCGTCACCAAGAGACTTCATGTACGTGCTCAGTGACCTGGGAGAAGGTCTGAAGCGTTAGGGTTTCTGGGGTTCACCAGGAATGTATTTCTCATGACCTCAGGAAAAGTTAATAAGGAGCTTTTATATGGTTTCATTAACCAGGTTCAATGTTTCCATTTGCAGCCACAGTATCATCCTAATATACATCCTGCTCAGCCACACTGGCATCCACACACACCTGTGAATGTAAGGTAAGCAATCTTCCCTTTGTAAAAAAGAGATGGTTATTTCTTTCTTTATGTTACCTGGTATGAAGATTTGGTGGCTGTATTGGGCAGTTCTCTGCAGATGAAAAGCCAACAGAAGTTTTAACTATGGGCTATAGAGACAGTGTTAAATAACTCCTAAGTTTTGCTTTGGAATATGAAGTGTTTTTTTTTCTAGTTGACTTCTAATTCAAAATAGAATGTTAGTTATTTCCTGTAGGGAGTATGGGGGATGGGGAGCTGATCTGTATTTTAATTGCAAATTGATCAGTTTGTTTGCATTTAATTTCCTAAGCCAGACAAGAAATATTTTTTAGTGTAAAGTTAAGTTTTTAATAATTATGTTCTTGCAGTGGAGCACAGTTTTTATCATTTCCAGAAATGTATATGGAAAAATGTCAAATACATGGAACAATTTATCACAGATAATGAGTAAATTTATAGCACTGAATTTTTGAGAACTGTTTCACAAAAATATTCCTGCATGTGCTGTTGTGTTATCTTCTCGCATACTTTTTTGTTTGTAGCTAGTGATGAGAGACATTGAGTGAAAAGAAATTTTGGAAGAAATTCAGTCCAATTAAAACCCACTTGGTGGAATGCATGGTGAAGGCATGCATCTGCTGGTGGATATGTGTCTATACATGTGCACATGATAAAAACCAGCAACTTTTTTTATCCTAATAAAAAGTAACCTTCTTAGATGACTCATTTTTTAGACAAATAACTACTGTCTTCAGTGAAAAATACCAATACCCTTATCTTTGTTCCTCCTTATCTAGCATTTATATTCTTACATCACAATAGGTAGACTTTGGTTCTAGTGTGGGCAGGCTCTAGGGATGAGGCTGAGCTTAAAATTAATGAAAAGATAATTTGGTGTGAGTTAGAGTCTGAGGATGCAGGAAAAAAGCAAGTATGTTATTAGAAATACTAGGCAGAGAAGCAGACAGGCATTGTCATCTCGAAATTGCTAGGACACAGCAGCAAAGCAGATATTAAATTTGTGTTAGAAACAGGAGACTTGAAGCTGTGTCATGAACTTTGCCTGTATTTCAGGCTCAGGAGTCTTCCTGATTTTAGGGTTTCTTTATCCAGTTTATTATGAGCACTTTAAAATGCACAATTTCACATTATGGAAGAGTGGTTGTCAAGAGAGCCTAATGATTTCATAAATCATTTGAGGTTTTGTTGAAATTTTTCTAAAGATTTCATCACTTAGGATACCAGTCCGTGACATTTTAAAGCCAAATAGTCCACCCTGGAGCAGAGTGATATTGAAATAAGCACAATAATGTATTGTAGTGTGTGTAGACAGCCTCCCCCTTCAGCCCCTCCACTGCCTGGGCAAAGACTAAGGTCAGTGAAATATGAACAATGGCTTTTTTATAGCAAGGCTTGTAAGGCTGAAAAAAACCCCAACCCACACTTAAAAGCTCAGTCATAAAAGCTTGGTAGAAAAGATGCTCAGAATTTTTGTTCCATTCAGGTAGAAGCATTTAAATGTGCGGTTAAAGTAGAAGTTTCAAGTTATTCTAACTTGGATTCAAAGTGAAAAAATTGGACATTTAAGGCTATCAGCCTTGGATAGCTTGATTTGAGCAAGCTTATGCCATTTGACTACGAACTTGAGATCACAACTACAGATGCATAAAATTCTTTCTGCTGGGCATGAAAGTCTGGTATGAGCATGGACTGAAATGCAATGACCTGTGTAATACGTGTCATATATGGAGCTTTTGTTGAATAATTTTGGAATTGTGGAATTGTGTCTTAATTTTCTTAGTAAAGTTCTTTCACTAAAATTGTTTGCGGATTCTTTCAGTGAAATTGTTTGCAGTTAGCTTAATATTTAACCTTCTGAAAAGAAAAAAATCCAATTAACAGCTGTCATCATATAACTTTAGAATATATTTTAAAAAAAGGTAAAATCTAAACCTTGCCTGTGTTTCTGCTACTTCAAAAAAACCTTATCAGAATCATAGAATGTCTTGGGTTGGAAGAGAATTAAAGATCATCTGGTTCCAACCCCCTGCCGTGGGCAGGGACACCTTCCACTAGACCAGGTGGCCCAAAGGCCCATCCAACCTGGCTTTGAACACTTCCAGGGATGGAGCATCCACAGCTTCTCTGTGCAACCTGTTTCAGTGCCTCACCACCCTCACAGAAAAGAATTTCTTCCGTATATATAATAATTGCAACTTCAATTTGGTAATAAGGTAATGTTAAATGTTGTGGTTTCCTACATAGTGTTCAAAATTGTTGTTTTATTTATTCCCCACTCCACTGCAATGATTCAGGGGACACTGTAGGAATGGTTAAAGTTAGTATCTCTAAGCAGCAATAAATAATGAGCAAGTAAGGAAAAAGATATTTTCCTTGTAGTACTTTTGCAAGTCTCAGAGAATTACCTGTACTAACTGTAGACTGGGGGTGTTCTTAAGAAAATTCAACTCTGTCAATTAAAGGCTGCTTTAGAGTTAATTAACTGCACCAGTGCCAAAGGAATGGCAATAACTACAGAAGAGCAATTTTCATTCATAATAGGATTGCCTTTTTTAACCCTTTGCACTTGAAGGATGTACTTTCATGAGCTCAGCGTTTTGCATGGTGTTTTATTTTACTTGTGTGTTGTACAAATTTAGTTTTCCCGTAGCCTCCTTCTCCGTCCCCACCTCCCCGTTGGAATTCCGGAGCATTGATGCACTATGCTCGTCTGTAACATTGCAGACAGAGAGGGTTTTTAGTGATTGAGCTCTGATTGAAAGCCTTTTGAGATTAGCTAAAAGATTTCCAGTTGCTTCAGCAGCTTCAGACCTATAGGTCTGTCCCCCTTTCCTTCCCATGCTGTAGCTCCATGTGCATGCTTAGCACTTGTGGGATGAGCTCATGTTACTGTGTAGCACTCCGAAGTTGACTTCCATTCCTCACTAACCAATAACTGTGCAAATGGTACAGGCCACCCTATCATGATGACAGGCCCTATTGGAAACCCCCCACAAGTGGAGAGGACAGCAATTTACGGTATATCCAGGAGCAGAACCAGAAGAATTTAGGAGGAGTCCAAAGCATGGTGTACCAAGATAAACTCATGACAACTCTCTGAAAAAGAGCCATCTTCATTTCACCTGCCATCTTACAGACATCATTGCATTCCATGGTCCTTGTCTGTCTGCAGTATGTTCAAACTGTATTGTGCATAAAGTGTGTGTCTTTGTACGTACATCCATCCTTGTTTCGTGTTTGTGGACATTCTTGGGAAAAGTGTTTTCCATATCTTTGTTAAAAAAAAAAAAAAAATCTTGAAAAACCTTTTTTGAATTCTGGTAACAATTTTCAGTGCCCTGAGACCAGAAATATTTCTGGGATTTTTCATTCTACCCTAGTTTCGTATCTGTGACCCTCTGCCTGCTGTTGAAGATCAGACTTTTGTGCCTTAGTTATTTTTATTACCTTGTTTCTTTTGAGTCAAAATAATCGATGAAGTTTGAGAATCTTTTTTTTTAGTTGGCATGCAAATACGGGATTGGAGGGAGGAAAAAACAGAATTCATACTGGCAATCAAATTGGCTTGTGGAACACCAACAAAGGGAGCCTACTGAGGCAGTCATAGGTTTGAATCTCATTTGTTTCTAATTTTTGTGTTCTGCAGAAGAAAGTAGAGGTGCTTACCTAACTTTGAAAACAAGTATAGGGAAAGAACACTGTAATAAACTTCACAGAGTATGTATATCTTTTTTTTTTTTTTAACTTGCTGATTATATTGATAGCATTCCCCAAAACCATACCTGCTGCTATAAAGGCAAGAATGTTATAAATTAATCCTTGCTAAAAGGGTGCTGCTGTTGTCTTATTTTTAATGTGATTATGGAAGTGAACTTTATAATTACATGAAACTACCTACTGATAACTTTTCTCTGAGTGGGTTCAAAAACACAACATATGATCAGTACATTAAAAAATGAGGACATTCCAGTGGAATAGCTCTATTTTTTTAAAGTTTATAAACATTTGTGAGTTGAATGTATATTTTACAGACATAGGACTTTGAATTTGACTGGCTGGTATTTTGATTGCTTGCAGACTTTTTTGTTATCTTTAAACCAAAAATCACAGTGCCATCTTCACTCGTGCATTTGTTTTAGTTAGGCCTTACATCTATGGTCTCTCTGAAGTTGTTGGAATGAATGGATCTTTATTTGGGATATTTTCAAAATGAAGTAGTTTTTAACTTGATTTTGATAAATACACGTTTATAAATGGCTATAATGAATTTTTTTCAGAGCAAATTTGATAGTTTATAACTTTTTGTGAAATACGTTTGTTTACAAATGCTATCTTTTATTATTTGTTCTGATCTTTCCTGTATGTGCTAAGTACAAATAAAAGATGTCAGTCTTGTTGATCTGGTTATGATGCATTATTTATTTTTGAAAGCTTTTTGGGAGGGTGGTAGATACGCTTGTACCTGATTTCCCCTGTAGTTACTAATGCTGTGGTGGATTGATGTTTCCATTACAATCTGTAGAGAGGGGAAGACAATAAAACAATTGTGCACTAAGATGTGAAAATTCCAGAGTTAAGCCTGAGGTGTGTAATCACAGAGGCTGACTTCAGTTTCCCCAGACTAGTCTTCCTCTATTTCAGCAGCATTTTATTTAAGAAAGGAAGAGAAACATCGTTGGAGCCACTGGAACAAACATCTAGGTTAGCTGCTTCTCTGAAAGCACTCTGGAGGAGGGTTTTTTGAAAACTCACATTGAAGTGTGGGGCAATGGTGCTTTATTATTTACACACCTACATTCATGATACAGTATCATTCTTGTCTTATAACCTTGTCGGCTTCCATGTGGTTTGTTGGCAGTGTTCCACCTCATCCTGTGTTATGTTTGGTTTGTTGCTGAAGGTGCACTGAACGAGGGATCCATTCCCTGACAGACTGCAAGAAAAGACAGCACAAGGCCCAACTAGTCCTGTAAGTGTTAAAAAGCCTCAGGCACACTGGTGAAGAACAACCTGTGGGCCTTGTGTGTTCTGCAGTTTGTGTGTGTCGCCTCGAGGGAAGCACTTGTCATTCTGCTTCTCAGGAGAGGGAGCCCACACATCCTGCACTCCCTTTTCACTTGTTCATCCCTCATCCTTCCTGCTGTCTGCAGAAATCTGAACCAGCCAAGTCACGGAGCGAACAGCTAGGTAAGAAGAGATCAGTGTCTCTGTCCTTCCTTCCTCTAGACACTGTTGGCCTCCTGTAGCATATGGGCTGGGATGCAGTCAGGAAGAGGGAGCATATCTGCCTGTTTCCTCTCTGACCCCAGTACTGCTCTCACCTGTCCAACTTACGCCACCTGAACAAAGGTAGATATGGGTGGTATCTATCTGAACAGGGTAGTATAAAAGAGTTGCTTTAAATATTAAAAAAATACATTGGCAGGGTTTTTTCCCTAAAATTAGCGCTGTCGTAACTCACAATAGTTTGTTTTTAACAAGAAATAGAAGTCTTGTGATGTTAGGATTACAGTTTTTTATTTGGAGCAACACAAAACACTGCAGCTGAAACCAGATTACATGTAGAGAGGGGAGAGAGAGCAAAAGTGGAAAATGTTTGGGTTAAGCAGCAATTTTTATTTAAAATACTGGGAAAGCTCTATCAAAAATCAATTCTACATCTTAAATTTGTGCTGCTACAGGAATCCTCTGGTAGTTTATAGGCACAAACTTAGTATAGGAACTTGATGGCCCTGGTATGTGAGTGTTTATACACCAAATGAATGAACTACTTTACCTAGGAGTTCCTCATGAGGAAATGCTGCATAATTTTTAACAAAGCATGTAACACTGTTGTTCTAAGTCAACACATTTTAAATGTGCTCTAAATATACACAGGGAAGTTAGTTTTTTTTAAAAAATGCCTTGAAAATTGCTTAAAGGAGGTAACACCTTAATACAAATGAAACATGTTCTCAGGGGTACCCACTGAACTGCATGTGCAAACTTTCTCCACCCTGTTCTGAAGTGTGTTTGTTGTCTAAAACCTTTTTACAAGTCCAACATACACTTAGAAACTTCTGTAATCTGATTACAGGTGATAAACACTATCCTTGCATCACCTTGGGGGAGGGATGGAGGGGAAGTCTGAGTATAGCAATAGGTATTGGAGAAATTACATTGATCTGAAGTCCAGCATAGAATTGCTTCTTCCTTGTGCTGGAGAATTAATTGATACAATCTGGCTGAGGGTATCTTTTGATCATCTCTCTGCACATCTTCCTCCTGTGCTTAATAAGGCTGGAAACCAGGGCTTCCCTAGCAGGGCTCAGGCCTGGCTCTACACTCTATGTATTTGGATTTTCAGGGAGATTACCTTTGCCTTGTAATAACTCTAATCCCATGTCCTCTCCCCCAGGAACTGCTGGGGGAATTGAAAAGCTGGTGGCACTGTGACACCACATCTGTAACACCAGCTGAAATAGATCGCTTTTCGGCCCCAGCCAGGCCCTGGCATGCAAACTAATGACTAATATTGAATACTGAAATATGATACCTGAAATACAATACTGAAAGTGTTGTCATTTTGAATATATTGTTTTAATGTGGGCTTTTTCTTCAAACTTTCATTTTCAGCTATTTTTCTCTAGTCAATGTGAGTCACAGGCTAAGTGAACAAAGGGATCAGGTTTTATAATGCATTTCTAAAGCTGGCAGTCAGGGGTTTGCATACTTAAAGGAAAGAATTAAGTCCTTCTGAACCCCATTACTATTGAACCCATATGCAAACTGACCAAGAGGAGGATGTTTTCTTACAGTGTGGATGGCAACAAAGCATATATTATGGTTTGGTAATGTAAAATGTGATTTTCTATTCCTCTGGATAAGCGCTGCAGATGTCTCTTCAGCCTGCAAGAGAAAGTGTCGGAGTTTGCAAGTAATTTTGAAAATGGAACTTCAAATGCTGGCGAGGAATGAGCTGGGGAACATCAAAGGCAGCAGGGGAAAATGAAACCGAGTATATCACCTGCTTCTCAGGCATCAAAGCTGGTGAGATGGGGCTCTCTGAGAGAGAGGAGACAGTTCAGCACTGCAATCATCTCTTTTCAGAGGAGGAATCTTTTCAGTTTGTGTATCAAGCAGGCAGGCTGCTCTTCCCTCCTCAAAGGAGAGAAGTTCTGATGCACATCTATCTAACCTGACACTCCAGATCTCTGGAAAGACTGTTGGCAATGAGAGGTTTTCCTATTACTCTACAACAGAGAACCAAGGAAAACAGACTTGTAGGGGGAATGCTGTCATTGCAGCATTGCTAATGGCATCTAAAGAGACTGCTGGTGCCAGAGCTGCTAAAGACCATCCTTAATGGATATCAGTTAGGAAATGTATTTTTTTTGATTGACCTCATGTGTGTGCTTTGAAGAAGGGGTACTGATCCACCAGGACCCTGACTTTTGTTAATACAGAAGTTTCATGTGCTACCTATGAAACCTTGAGAGCCAGCTTGAACTAACACTCTGTACCCTAACCAAATTTTTGCTACATTGTGAGGATGGAGATTTTGAACTGTTTCAGAATAAATAGGTTTTTTCCTACATTACAGTCAAACTGCACAAGCTTGGAAAATCACAGTGCTCTTATGCTGCTCCCAAGTTTTAGTGTTGCAGAGCCTGCAGGAAAATCAGTCCTCATTCCTCAGCATATAACAGGCATATAGAAGGATGCAGCTTTTGGAAAACAATCCTAGTCAAATCAGACCAGAAAAAACACACAGAGGTGGGCCACACTTTTCTGTCTACCTCCTGCAGTACATGGCAAAGGGGTGTGTGGTGATCATGAAGACTTCGTTCGGCTTTCCTTGTTTTCTACTTACTGTTGTACCTTGAAGTGACTGGCTAAAGAGTTTCCCTTCCTCAGTGTATGTGCTGTTGCTCTTGTTGCCATTCCATCACCAAAAGAAACCGCAACAAACGAACAAAAAAAACCCCAAAAAAACCCAACAGATAATTCAGTTGTAGTTCTTCCATTGATAGCAATCATTTCCAGTAATAAAGATGCAGAGTAAATGCTGTTCTCAAGCGCTTACTAATGACTGTTTCATGACTGTACTTTAAAGCAAAATAGAGTACTTTCACAGAGGTGATTTCATGAGTGTTAATCTGAATTTAATTGTAAAGTTCGTGTGTCAGGCCTCCCTGTGCACTGTCCCCTGCAGATATGAGTATCTTGTTACAGAAATACAAGCATGTCTGTAATTGTCTTGCATATTGTTTTAAATTTACACATGTAATATGCTTTC